GGCGGCAGCAGCGCGCCGGGCAACAGCGATGGCGGCGCGCCGGGGCCGGCGGCGGGCGGGAGGGCGCCGGACGCGGCCGCGGCTGCGGCGGCGGCTTGGGCGGCGGCGACGTCTTCGATCGAGGGGACGATGACCGACACCTTATGCTCGATCGCTTTGTATTCGTATTGCACCGCCACCCACAGAAACACCAGCGTGTTGGCCGCCATGAGGGCCGCGGTCAGCAGCAAGAATCGGTCCAGGTGGCCTGCCGGGCCGCGGGAAGCCGAGCGGGCAGGGTGGAAGGTCAAGGGGTGCGCGATGCGCTGTGGGTGGTGCCCCGTCGCAGGACAAGGCCCCACGCTGCAGGCGCCCCCCATTGCAGCTGCGAAATCGCGGCTCCGCAGCCAGTGTGCTGAGGGGTGCGTCGACAAGCGAACACGGCATAAGAATGCACGCACGAGCGGGGCCAAGCGGTGCAAAACCGCCGACTTCAAACACCCAGCCCAAGCTTGCAAGCGGGCGGGGCGGTGCCGCGCAGCGCGCTAGATAACCGCCGCCGCCGGCCTGCCCAGTGCAATTCAGGTCCTTTGGAAGCCACGGCTCCGCTGCCTTAAACCCTGAATCCTAAACCCTACACCAACCACCTCGCCGCCCCTGCTCCTGCGCACCATAATTCAGGTCTTTGGGCAGCCATGGCTCCCCCGCCGCGCTGCTGGCCGCCTGCACGACCGCCACCACGCCGCCGCCGAGGTAAGAGCCGAGGGCGGTGGACAGCAGCTGCATGGCCATGCTGCAGGAGCGCATCACATCAGGGGCCTGCGCGGGATTCAGGGGCTTCCAGGGTTTAGGGCCCACGCGGTTCCAAGGGTTGCCAGAATTTGGGGATTCCGAGGGCTCGGGCTCCAGATGCAGGGGTGTTCCACCGGTCTGCCTCCATACCCCTCCCTCAACCCCGTGTGCCGACACCCCCGGCAAGCATCCATTCTCCCCAATCACCCCACCCAACCACATCCCACCCAACCACATCCCAACCAACCACGGCCCAACCAACACCCCACCCCCCAAACCGTGATAACCGACGCGCCTGGTCATAGAAAAACTCGAGTTGCCCCACAGACGCCAGCACCTCGCTCGCGCCCACTAGGATATAGGCAGGGCTCTGCCACATTATGTTGATGGCCACCCGCTCATAATCCCCGCCGCCACCGCCGTCGCCGCCGCCGGCCACGGGTCCGGGGTCGTCGCCGCCGTGGGAGCTGCGGAAGAGGGAGAGGCGCCATGACTCGATGCCGGCGGCGTAGAGCATGGCGAGCGCTGCGACCATCATGCCCCAGCCTGTGGAGTGGAGGGGGGTCGGCAAGGGAGGCGCCGGGCCCGGTCAAACGTGGTCACAGGCGGTCAAAGATGGTCAAAGATGGTGCCAGGGAGGAAGAAAGGGGGTGTTATGCGCGAGGGCCGCGGGGACTGCCGGTTGAGCCAGTCCGGCGGGGCTGTGCTGCAAGGGATCCGTGGGCAGGGGCCAGTGAGCGAAGCCACCTTGCAACCACTGCCGAGCTGCGGGCTCCCAGGGCGGGTCAAACGTTTGCTCCCGCCGGCCGCCGAGCGCGGGCGGCTGCCTTTGTGGGTGCGCCACCGACCCACCAATCTTCTGCAGCAGCGTCAGCTTGCGCCCCATCTTGGTCAGCCAGGGGTCAACCACCCTGGGGCGTTTGAATGAGGAGGGGCGACAGATGAGGGTGAGAACCTGGGGACGGCGCCGGCAGAGGGCGCCAGCGGCGCCGAGCATCAACCTGAGGCACATCTCAGTGCTGGCTGCGCATGACATCCAGATAAGCAGGCACTTGACCTGTGCATCGGACCACGCATATTCTAAACTCAAATAAGATCAAATCAGATCAGACCTGGCGCCGCTCACTTGTCGTACAGGGGGACCAGCAGGATGATCGCCCCAGTGTTGAACAGCGCCATCGTGGCGCTAGGGATGCGGATGACAAACCCGCCATTCTCATCACCCCCGGGGCCATCGCCCCCGCCGCCGCCGCCGCGAGTGATGTCAGCTTCCAGCAGCCGCCGCCCCGCGCCGCCTGTTGGGCTGCCGCCGCCACCGCCGCCCCAGAAGGGCCAGGGGATGGAAATGGCGTTGTCCATGAGGGAGCCCTGGGCGATGAAGAAGGTGCCCATGAAGCCGTAGAGCGTCCTGCGGGTTTGGAATTCGAAAGCGACAGACGACAGCTGCTGAGCGCCTCGCTTCCGCCGAACGCGCACACGGAAGGGCCCGTCCCAGCGCATCGCAGTACGATGATGAGCTGCCATCATTCTTACTGATACAGTATGTTGTTCTGTCTCTAGATCAGATCAACTCTGATCAGATCACGGCTCACCAGTAGATCGCAGTGGTCCAGAAGATGGGCAGCAGGCGCAGCACCAGCTTCACCTCCTCAACCTGTTGGGGGGTTGAGGAGGCGTCGTTGCATGGAAGTGCATGTGTGTGGTGTGGAGGTGCAGAGGTGTGCGTGTGTGTTTTCGTGTATGTGTGTGTGCTTGTGTGCGTGTGTGTGTGTGTGTGTGTGTGTGTGTGTGTGTGTGCGCACGTGCGCGCAAGAGTGTGTGTTCTTTTGGGTGTGTGTATTTGAGTGGACTTGCGTGCGAGCATGCACATGCACGTGTTTGTGCATGCTCACAATCCACATGTGCATGTGGTGGCCCCCACGCATCGCCCCAGGGCCGTCCACCAACGCCCCGCAGGCTCTCAACGCGACGGAGCCCCGACAATGGCACACGTAACGCCAACACCGCGCCCGCCTCGCGCTCCCAACATGACCCGGCACCACGCCGCGCGCGCCCGATTCGGCGCCCCCAGCACCCCAACCCATGCCGCGCCCTGGCCCCCGCCGCCCAGACCCTCGGGCCCTCGCCTGCTTGCGCGTGTAGCCGCCCACGCCGCCGCCGGCGTGGGAGCCCGGCGCGCCCTGGCTGTCGGCCCACTCTGTGATCGCATCCTCCAGCCACCTGCAGGAGAAGAGGGGCGCAGTTTCCAGGCAGTTGCAGGGGGAGGCAGCTGCTATACACGAGGAGATTGTGCGTTTTGACCGCTGACTGCTCGACGTGCAATGATTTCATGACATGACAGGATGCGCAAGCAGCACAGACGGTGCGCGAAGGACGGGCCACCGCCAAAGCTGTCATGGGCCCGTTGCAGGCGGAGCGCAGCCCTCTGGCCGTCCCACCCCGACCCCTGCGCTCGGGCGCCGCTTCCCGGCTTATCCTGTGATCTGCTATCAGCAAAGCCCGGACGGTGCTGTGCAGCCAACACTGGGCGTACGCACGTACGCACCCCTCAAAACCCAACTCGCACCTACAAAGACAAACAGGCAAGCGCGCGCGCCCGCGCGCACGCAAGCACCCACCTGTAACTCTTAGACCCCCCGCTCTGCGGCCGCGGCGTCTGGCGCCCCGCCGCGCCGCCGCCGCCGCCGCCCAGCCTAGACCGCGGGCCGCCGCCCGCCGGGCTGTAGGGCCCCGGCTGCCGCAGGGCGGAGATCCCGAGATTGTCGTCGGGATCCGAAGAGTCGATCGCCGTGTATCCGGGGATGGGGCTGCCCGCCTGGGGTGAGGTATCCAGGCCCGGGGCGGGGTGGCGGCGGTGAGGGGCGTGGGGCGCAAAGCTGATCAGGGGTCGTACAAGAACCCCTGCTCCCGTCAAAATCGAGCCGGCCGGCGCGGGGCCGCCTGCGCCATCTCCATCACCCACCCCCCCGAACTCCCTCACACACACACACACACACACACACACACACACACACACACACACACACACACACACACACGCACACACATACGCACATGCACACACACGTGCACCTATCAGTTTCCTATGAAACCGTGTCCACTGAATCAAAACCACAGATGCATTGTCCAGGGCCGCCGGCGGTTCCATCAATCACATTTGCCCTCCTGCAAGTAGACTGCTCCAAATAGCAGCCTCATTCCCTGCCTCGAGCCCTGGCCCCACCTGAAGCAGCCGCCGCCCTGCTGCAACACCCGCATCCCTCCCTTGCAAGATACGCCCTGACACACACCCGCACGTCCCTCCCCCTCCCCGTTACATCCGACCTCCCAGCCCCCACACATCCCTCAATCCCGAGCCCGGCCTTACCTGCGGGGCAGTCTTGGGCCTGAGGCGGCTGCGCATGGCTGCGGTCACGACCTTCACCACGCGCGCCATCGGGGACTCAGTGGGAGCCACGTGCCTGCAGGCAAACACACCCCGAATGCCATCTTTTAGTGTCGGGCGGATCGAGGCAGCGGACCAGGCGGCGCCGGAGGAGCAGGCAGGCCGGCGGGGCGTGGGGACGCGCGGGCACCAGCCGGGCGGCGCGCAAGGGGCTGCCGGCGGCGGCGGCGGCTGCAGCGACGGTGGCTGCGGCTGCGGCTGCGGCGGCGGGGGAGAAGGGGCTGCGGCGGCGAGCGGGGGCGGTGGATTGCAGCGGCAGGCGGCGGCGGCGGGCGGGGTGGTGCGCGGCGCACCTGTATCGCCCGCTGCCCGCGAGGAAGAGCAGCACGGCGCAGCCCATGGCCATGGCCGGGATGGCAAAGCCCAGCGTCCACGACACAGAGTCCTGAGATGCATGGGTGCGGGGGGGGGGGTGTTTGTGTGGGTGTCATGATGATGGGATAGATTGCATCGCGTGCAATTTTGGCCAACGGCACATGCTCTTACACGTCGGAGAGCACATGGGCGGCGCAGCCCACCCTGATGCCTACGGACATGCGCGCACGAACACACACACGCACAACAGTGACTTCACATCTGCGGATTTGTTCGAATTTCAAAATGCGGTGCCATTCTGTGGCCCTCAATACACAACATGCAATCTTGCTGCAATCTGGTTGCTGCAGCAAAATTCACAGTCAGCCCACCTGCACCCAGACAATGCTGGTGCAGGCTATGAGGGAGCCGATGTTGATGGCCAGGTAGAAATAGTTGAAGAAGGACTCCTTCTC